CAGCCTGCCTTGTGTTGCCCAGTGACACATTTTGGACCAGTGACTGTGGACAGAGCAGTATTTGCTACTTCCAGGCCTGTCCCCCAAAGACACAGCACACTGTTTGCTTCATGCACCTGAGCCCTGATGCAGCGAGCCCAGTGCAGACTCTGTGGCCTGAGTGGATAACAGAGACACCGCAACAGAACCCTTGCTTCTGTCCTGCACCAGTGTTGGAAGCCACTGAGATTTGGGATTTGCAACAGCAGCTAGCTTACCGTGTGCAATACACTGCTATGAAATGATGACCAGTCAGACTGAAATTAAGAAGGTTAATAAACTTAAAACACAAACTAAAGTTTATTACTGAGCAACTAGACCAATGTATCTAAGAAGCTGGAGCTAGAAGTTTCCTTCTTTAGAGAATAAACAACAAGATTTGAAATAAGGTCAATCCCATTTTATCAAACAAGTAAGAGCATTCACAGATCTTAATTCAAGCTTGTTCATTACTTCCAGTTTTTCTTTATTTGTGAGGCAAGGGGAGAACCATCATCCAAGTGTTTGTTATAGAGAATCCAAGTGTTCAAACAGCAAGTAATGATGGGGTCAAGGGGAACATCCACAGAGAGATTCCAAGGAAAAGATAAGTGAGAAGTATTGCACCCACATAACTACAGCTGCAGAAAGTGACATTTGGAGGAGAAAAATAGCAATGCTGCACTTTGAGTGCTTGCGCTGTGTCAGGCATTCCTATCATGGGTGTACACATATTTATTATTCATACATGGGATAGTGTTGTGGTCACTATCTGACAGATGAAGATATGGAGGCCCAGAAAGTGAAGTACAAGGTTTAGGACTCTCTCAACATCCTATTGTAAACTTTGTTAAGGAGCAAAAATTTGACTTTTCCTGAATATGGGAGAGTTATTTCCCCTAAAATATATGTTACAGAGAAGCCCGCATTCTCCTTGAATTTTCTCTTTAAAATTCAACAGGGTCAGCAATAAAATTACTAACATCACTAACGGAAAGTAGAAGTAGCAAACACTGGCACCTAGCTCTACCTCTGGAAGCCCAATAATGGGGGGCAGAGGGAGAAGATTCCGGGGGGTGGGGGCTTAGAGCCATTTCTTATCCTCCACCATCCCTTTTACTGCTGCTTTTGAAAACCACCAACATGATTTGGAGCATGCTTTAGAATCCCCCATTTTAAGACAAGAAAAACTATTATCAATAACAAAGATGTTCTGAGTTCCTGTTAAGTGTGTCATGTTTCGTTAGACATACAACAGGCTGGCATTCCTTGTGAAACAGGGTCTCCATGTCCAAGTTCCTGCAGCGCAGAATAAAACACCAGCACCCCAACTACTCAGTTAGATCAAAGAAAAAACAAATCAATATCCTGTCTGCCTGAGCCACACAACTACTAATTGCCTGTAAGTGGACAGTATATTTCAGTAAATGAGAGGAGCTAATAGCCTGCCTTCTCTTTTCAGAAGCCTATCACTGAGCAAAAATGGGAAGGAGCCACTCTGTTTATTAAGATGGCTTTAAGAAGAGAATAAAATGTCCATCCTGGAGGTATTCGATAAAATAGACATAGAGATGAGAAAAGGAAACAATGAGCAACAGAGACACTATATATATATATATATATATTAACTGGGGAAAGATCTAGCAACACTGGAAATAACAGGAGTTGAAGATCATCAGATAACTTTTCCATGGGTCCCTGCCTTCCCCAGTAACAAAGCTAACACTAGACAGTGAGTGGTTTCTCATGCATGCTATAAACATTTTACATTTATTGTCTCATTAAGCAACTAAGTTAGATGAGTACCATTAATGTTTCTATGTTTTAGATGAGGAAACAGAAGCACAGAGTTTAAGTAGTGCTACACAGTCACACAGCTTCTAAGAGACACAATTGATATTTTTAAATGGATAAGAAAAGGTAACCCACTGAATGGGAGAGGATATGATATAGCTCATAAGGGACTAACATTCAAAATATATTTTTTTAAAAACTCATCATCAAGTTTTTAAAAATCTGATTAAAAAATGGACAGAGGATGTGGATAGACATTTCTCCAAAGGAGACATCAGATGGCTAACAGATACATGAAAAGATGCTCAGCATCATTAATCATCAAAGAAATGCAAATTAAAACCCCAATGACATATTACCTCACCCTGTAAAAAAGGCTTTTATCAAAAAGACAACAAAGAATGAGTGTTGGGGAGGATATGGAGGAAAGGGAACCTCATGGATTGTTGCTGGGATTGTAAATTGGTGTGACCACAATGAAGAATTAAAAGCAGAACTGCCATTCAACCCAGCAATTCCACTCCTGAGTATTTATCTGGAGAAAACGAAAGCACTAATTTGAAAACATATATATGCAATCACTATGTATTGCAGCATTATTTACAATAGCTCAGATATGGAAGCCACTTACGTGTCCATGGCATATTACCTAGCTATAAAAAAGAATGAAATCTTGCCATTTGCAATAGCAGTGATGGCCAAAGAAAGACAAATACTGTATGATTTCACTTATATGTGGAATCTAAGGAACAAAACAAACAAATAAAGCAAAACAGAAATAGACTGATAGGTACTGAGGACAAACTGATGATTATCTAAGTGGAAGGGAGAGGGAATGGGTGGAAAAGGTGAATGGGATTAAAAAATACAAACTTCTAGTTATAAAATACTGCATGGGGATGTAATACACAGCACAGGAAATGTAGACAAGAATAGTAGAATAACTTTTTACAAAGACAGATGGGTACTAGACTTATTGTGGTGATTGATCACTTTGTAACATATATGAATTGCTATGCTGTATTACTGAAACTAATATAATATTGTATGTAAACTATAAACAAAAAATAAGATCTAAAAAATACATATGTGTTCAAACACTGGACCACCTCTAAGCAACCATCCTCTAGTCCGTTCTGGCTCTTTTGCGTAAATTGAAGTCTTCACATCTAATGGCCTTAGTGAATGCTGATGGCAAGGAACCCAGGTAAGCCTTTCCTGAAGATTCCGCAGGTGCTGACCTTGAGCATGTTCTCTGAAGTGAATCCCCCTGAACAGATCGGCAGAGAATTATAGCAACAGTGGAGTGAGCTGGAGAGGCTGCCGGAAATCCTACCAGATGGCATAATATTCTTCAAACAGTGTTGATGGATCTTTTGTGATCATACGCAGAGACAACATATGAATGAGAGAGAAATTCAGGATGTCTATGTGAGTGTGAGAGACAAGAGAAGGAACAGGATGAGAAGGGGTGGGGAAGGAAAAGCATTCCTGATGAGTTTGTAGTAGCTTCTAGAAGATTATGAGCTATATTGCAAACAGGTATATTATTATATGAATTGTATATGATTTTTACAGAATAATAACATGACAAGAGACCAAAGGTAATAGCCACTCTAACTGCTGCAGTCCTAAATGTAAAGTTAGGCAAGATTTTTAAGTTATCCAGCTGGTTTAATGTCAGGGCCAAGAAGAAAAATCAGTTTTCCTAAGTCAGCATTTATTGCTCTTTCCATAATCCTGTGCTACAGTGTCTAATAAACAATGTCAAATTTTTTATTGTCAACATCTAAATTTAATATGAGCAATAGGCGGCAAAGGCTTCTATAGCTTCTGCATTACTTTTCCTCCATCTGTGTGAAGCTGCTAATTACCTGCTGTCAGTGAAAACAACCCTTGTAGGCAGCTGAAAAAATGAATTGGAAATTCGGGTTTGAAGTCAAGTAAAAAACACAGGTGCTGCTTTGTTCAGTTAAATCCTAACAAGGAACTTAGTGGGATGAGAGGGTAGGAGGTGGGAAAAGGAAAAGGAGAGATGACATCATCGTCATCCTCAGCTGAAATTGTCCGAAAAAGGATAAAAGTTAGAAAACAGCTTTCTAAGCACTTCCTAAAAGGGAATTTGGAGAGGTCTGGATTTGCAGGACTAAATAGTGTCCACAAAACAATTGACATTTTAGAAAAATAATTTGTGAAAAGAGTTTTCATCCTCCCCTTCAAAAAGTGCAAATAGAAAAGATTACCGTATTTTTCTGGCATATAAGACGATTTTTGAAACGAAAAAAAGTCAACCGAAAATCAGGGACAAAAAGACCAAAATTGCACAAAAATTACCTGCAGATCTTGACGGCAAAGTAAGTCTTATACAGCGAATATAGTCCTAAACCTATGTTTTAACTGTAAAATGTGTTGATGGAAGCAGGCAAGATATTATAAAGTTAAAGGATGTTTTTGTTTTGTCTTTTTTGGAGGGGAACAGGGGAATCAATTGTATGTAATGTTAAAAGGTTAGTATTTGTGCACTGTAGAACAATAGACTGTAATAGGCACTTCGGCTGTGCTACTGTCGTTAGGACTAAAAACAAATTTTGGGTTGTTTTTCATAATGATAATTTACTTTTCAGAAGCCTTATAAACAGTAGGCAATGTTCCCAAATTAAAATACATTGTAGACTATTGACTCTTCACTTGAACACTTTTTTTATTCCAGTTTGGAATTCTATTTAACACAGAAAAACAGCAGCCTTTATTTTAATTACTTATTTTGCATACTCCAAGGCAAGGAATTCTCAGGCTCTGAAGAATGTATTGCAAAGCCATGGAGAGGAGGATTACTTGAAACCTCAGGAAGCTCTTTGTCCCCCCTTCTCATCTCCATCATTTTTAAATCCAGGTACATTTGTAGTAGGAATTTGTTAGGTGAAACCCTGCAGCAATATTTCTCTTCATTTCCATGACAACAGCTCCCTATCAACTTCTGAAGGAACTTGCCTGTATTGTAAACAAACCTCTCCTGGCAATTGGCCTGTTTTCTTTCTCTATCTCATCTTCCATCTGTTCAAAGGCTTTGCTTCAAAAAGAAGTAGGTTGCAGGTGTGTACTTTTTCTTCCCCCCCCCCCCCTTTGTTTCTGAAAGAGGTCGATCTTGGAGATTAAAATTCTCTCAGCTTGTGACTTTAACAACCTCACAGAGCAAAGCTGAGTACCTGTGTGTACCTGTGTGTACCTGTGAACCAATATTCGGAGCCTATCAACATACAGCTCGGTTCCATTTCAGCACAAATCCCTCGGAAATAGGAAGCTGACTAATACAATTTTTAAAAAAGAAAGAAGGAAACTATTTAGGGCCAGCCTAAAATGAATCAGAAATAAGATTATTGTTGTGTGTTCTTTTTTCCCCCCAGGATCTTTCATTAAAGACTAAAGTGCTTATTATAGAAATTGTTTTATGACAGAATTAGAACCTTACCAATAATCGAGGTGAGAAAACTTTATTTTCTTTTGAAAAAAGAAAATGTCTCTTATATGTTTAACTAGAGGTTTCATGACCTCAAAAAGGCATAAAATTTTAATCCTCAAGACTTGAAATATAGGTGAGTAATTTGTCCAATATAACAAATTTGACATTTTTATAAGTTCGTTTACTGACACTCTTAAGTCTTTTTTTAATTCAATGTCCCAGCTATTGGGTCATGTGACTACAAGAGTAAACACAATTGTCTGGCATTATGCCAGATATCAGGATTGGAAAAAAGAGTCAAGCCAGAGAAAAAAGATACATTTCCTTCACTGAAACACCAAATTTGAAGAGAGATAACTGGATAGAGAGTATCTTGGCTAGAGTTTTAGAGAGGTTTGGGGCATATGAATCATAGCCTCCATTGAAAATGTTGCTTTATTTACTTGTTTTGTTTGTTTTTAATTTTCCTTAAGGCTCCAGAGGAGACATCACTTCACTGAGGATATCAGCAGAAGGATGTTTGATATCTCAAAAAAAAACAAACAGATTTGGTAAGTCAAAGGGTCTTCTCGTAGATAAAAGTATTTTCATGTCTTTATCTCATTTTGCCATATGATATAATTTGCATGTATGTTTATTTATCATTCAACAAATAGTTATTGAGTACTTACCATGAGCCAGGTGCTGTGCTCACAGCTGGGAATGCAGTGGGATCATTTCTGTCCTCCTTCAGGTTCCTGGGGGAAAGCAGATATAAGCTTTAACCGAGTAATCACACAAACACATGTAAAATATTATGATATGAGAACTTTTAATCAAGGAATTTGATATTTAGTTTTTAAGGAAGACCTTGCAGAGGAAGAGAGACTCAAGGTAAAATCTGAAGAAATCAGAAGTGAAGAGGACAAATAGTCCAACATAATATATTTTTTTGTCTGTTCCTGTTATTGTTGTAATTAACTAGTTACTAATATTAAGAAAGAGAGGAAGAGGGAGGGCAGACATTACAAGCATGGTCATCTTGGCAGCTTCACTAAGAAGCTACAGCTTCATGCTCAACCACCTGTCGATTCCTGGCAGATCCCTGGGGGAAGGGGTCTAACAAAAGGGGCGGTGACACATGCTCAGTGAAGTCGGGGTGCCATAGAAAAGGTGCTTGGCTGTCAGTCTAGCCTGGGAAAAACTTAATTGGCTAGAAGGGTGGGGCCACTGGAAACTCACAATTCTTGGAAGGGTAAAGTCCCCAGACAAAGAATTTCCTTGCTCTTGCTTGTTCCCTCTTGCTTTCTGCCCCCTGGCTTTCACCCATGCAGGGACCTGTTCTCTCCCATAGCCATGCGGCCTTAAGTAGCTGCACAGCCCATGGCCATGCCCCACATGCAATGGACTGTAGCTGGGAGCACAAACTAACCTAGCTAGGTGCTGGACTGGACTGTCTTTTAATATGGGACAGAAATTCTGAACACTGACTTTAATCCTAAACCCTGCTGAGACACAGTTGGACTTTTTCCATGGTGAGACATACAGAGATGGGACCTTTATTTACATCATCAATAAAGCTCTGCACAAAGCCCCATCCTCCCATGGGGGCCTCAGAAAACCCCTTTCCTTCCAGCACCTCAAGAACTCCACTTCCACAGAGAGCACTCCTGCTTACTGGAGGTTAGTTCTATAAGAGCAGACTAAACTGTCTAGTTTGCCACATTATCCTTAGGGCCTAAAACTGTGCCTGGCACAAAGTTTAATTCTCAACAAATATTAATTAAATAAATGAACTAAACTGAGTTGAACTAAATAAAGAGTAAAAGGAAGACCAATTCTGACAGACTTTTGCAAAGATTCTTTCACTGGAGAAATCATAGAATATGAAAAAGGCCATAAAACTCAGAAAACTGACTATTGGTTTGGAGGCGTCCTGGGGTATTAGAGAGATCCTTTGAATCCCTCCTTGATGAGGCAGTGGGAACCACTGACTTCCTTCCTTCCTTCTCTCTTTTAGTTTTTAGTGAGCAGCCAAGGTCCTAGGACTTACCTGAACTGTAACGCTTTCAAAGAAACAACTCATGTGTAAACCATACTCCCTTCTCAATGTAGACTTAGGATATCACCTAGGGAAATTGTGACCAGTATTATTTTCATATTAAAATAAAAGCTGGTCTAGCATACTCACAGGACAGTGCGGGGACAAATATATAAAGATAAAATCTCTTCCTCCTCCTCCTTTTCTTCTTGTCCTTCTCTTTCTGTTTTCCTCTCTCTTGAGCCCTTTCCTTCTCTCTCCCTCTCTCCTTCTTCTCTCTCTCACATCTTCAATGACTATGAAGAGCATGCTTTACTCTGAAATATCTTAGGTACACATGTATAAATGCTAAGAAGAAGGTAGAAAGCACAATATATATTGGCCTTGAGTTGAGCCATTCAACATGCATCGGGTATTCCCTGTGTGCCCAGGCCTATTCTGGTCCCAATTTTGGGGAAGGACTCTCTGCATCCTGAGCAAGCATCTGTTTAATTGGAGAAACTGAAACAATATCCCCAAAAGAAGTTACCAACAGATTTCCATCATATGAATAAATTCTGTGTGGCGTTGTATATGAGTGCCCAGTGCATGAGTTAAATGAAGGAGGCTTCCTGGGATATTTAAGTTTGATTTTGAAAGAGGAGTACTGTGATCATTGGAAAAGAGTAGAGAGGTAAAATAGAGAAATAATTTTCTTTGCATAATGTAAATGTTTTCAACACCTAGGGCCATTTGGGAGAAAAACCAATCACCTCCAAAGCAGAATCCTAAAATATTACCATGACTCAGGGGAAATGACAGAAAACAAGTACATATTCAGCCAAAAGAATGATTTCCCTTATTCTCTTAAAAATTATATTTATTTTATTTTAAATTTACTTTATTGTTGAAAGTATTACAGATGCCCCCTCTTCTCCTTGACTTCCTTATTCCTTTTTAAGGTCAAACAAGAGCCTGGTACACCAAAAATATGGAAACACTTTCATTCAAAGTGTTTAGTTCAACTTCTTTAGTTCATTGTCTTCTTGGGTTCAATAAGAGAAGACCACCTTGTTTATGAACCACACAGCAGCATATCTCTTTAAAACTAAAACTATCTCAACCTAAACTACTCATTATTAATTTTGGTAGACCTTTACGTCATCCTTCCTCTGCTGTAAGAAAGAATGTAGTATTGTTTCTTCTAGCACACACACCTTAGCAATTTAAAACATATCCCATGGGACTAAAAATGTAGATGATGTTCCATGTGTAAGGCATTTCCTACCCGAAGGCACAAAAATAAATTCATACTGGCTGTGAGTTTGTGCTGTGAGTGTTTTCACCTCGTTTTGGATCAACACCTGCTAGTCTGGTCTTGTGTCTCTTTCACTCTCTCAGATACTGTTTCACTGCTTAGAGGCTTTTGAAAGGCAACAGATAACAAACACTCTTTGGTCCCTTGCATTTCAATAGAATAACCTGAAACTTCTTATCATGAAGGCCCAGCCAGACCATGATATGAGGGAGGGGTTGGAGGGGGTTCCCAGGTCCTAGTTCCATGTATAATTTGATTTCTTTTAAACAAATAATGGGTTAAGTTGAACTCACACTCATGCCAAAAACAACTTTTTACAGCAACACCAATCACCTGCCTAGGTCCTCCCATTTTCCTCATTTTAAAACTTAGCTCTCTGTTTACATCACATCTTACGCCTGCACATGAGTGACACAAACAGAAGAGGACTGGCTAGACATCAAGGCATCAAGGGCCCGGTTTCAGTGGGAGACGACAGTAAGGTTATATAAATGCACATTGACAGAGCTGCTGATGAAGAGGCCTTACACAGCCCTGAATTGACTGGTCCAATAGCCAACTCAGGCCAGAGAGGACATGACATTAACTCACCATGTGCACTCAGAACATGTTAAGACATTTGTAAAGCCATTTTAGAATTAAATCACTAGTCCAGATAAAAGAGCTTTGATTTTTAAATATTAATGAATGTGTGTGTGTGTGTGTGTGTGTGTGTGTGTGTGTGTGTGTGTGTTTAAATGATTCCTAAGAACAGAATATTTACTTAGTATGATTTGCAAGAAACTAGTGCTTGGAAAATTAGCTGTGTTGGGAACTGTGACTTACAAAGCACACAGCAATCATTCACAATGCATCATAGTTCAGGAACTGTAGACACTCATTCTAGGTTGCATGAATGAATGAATGAACAAACATTATCTTCCATCCTATTCAAGCAGAGTAACTCAACAGCACAATTCTGAGATTGGCTAGTGTGACTGAAGAAATAAATGCTAACCTGTAGTTTTCTCCCTTCTGAACACACATGCAATTTGTCATGGTCAATTATATTTCTGGTACAACGGGCCAATGCCTCTCTGACTGGCCAGTGGAAAGCCAATTAACTTCTCTTCAATTCTATTTCTATTTTTACAGCTTGGAAATGAAAGTACAAACTGATCATCTCCCTTAGAACCACTGTGGAGCCAAAGGGAATATTGCCAGATAGAACAGTATAAGCCAATAAAATTGGATCATCAGGTAAATCCTTAGAGTCAGAAAGGGGATTGGTGGTTTCCAGGGGCTGGGGCAGGGGGTGGGGAGGGATGATTGAGGAATGACTGCCTAATGGGCATAGAGTTCCTTTTGGGGTGATCAAATGCTTTGGAACTACAAAGAACTAATGGTTGCATAATATTGTAAAGGTACTAAATGCCACTGAATTGCACACATTAAAATGGCTAATTTTATATTGTGAATTTCAACTCAATAAAATAATTGTATTATAACATTTACAGTTATAAAGCATGTTTTTCTAAGTCTATGAAAAGAATGGTGTGGTGAATGCTGTCTATTTATGTGTTTCAAAAGGATAGCAATTGTTCCATAGTTTTTTAATAAACGTCTAGTGAGTTTATAAAGACCAAGAATGGATACCAATGATGAATGTGGTGATATCCTGATAAAGTTACACTGATCTGAGTCAGAACCTGAAACCAGGACACATTTTGTGACTTGGTAAGACAGAATATTTCCTGCTAAGCAAGAAATCATTTACCTCCTTGAATATTAAAAAACAACAACCCTATGTAATTACCATTGTATAAAAACCATTAATGAGCAATATTAATTATGGACTGTGATCTATTTACACATATTCTCTGAAAGTAAAATTTCTTTAAAATAAGTTCTGTTGTCACAAGTATATTTAAATTTCACAAATCTTGCTCTTCAATAAATCAGCCAGTATTTAGTGAGTTCTATTGTGCATAGTATGAGTCCAGCACTACTGTCAGACTCTAAGGGTCAAAGAAAATGACAAAATAGGTTTTCCTCTCTACTATTGTTATTTACAAAGTTGAGTTTTATTAAACAGATAGTATCAAATTAAGCAAACAAATGCAACATAATCCTGCACTTATATTTATACTTTGGCATATAGTACTTTTATAGTTGACCGGAGAAGCAAGCAGAATAAAGTCATTTATTGCCATACTATAGGGTTAAAAAGCTGCAAGAGCACACAGTAAATAGTTCAGCCAGGACTTGAATCCAAGCCTCATACACCTAGGCTGGCACTCATTTCATAATATATAAACTAGAGGTCAGGCCCTGACCGGTTTGGCTCAGTGGATAGAGCATCGGCCTGCAGATTGAAGGGTGCCAGATTCGATTCCGGTCAAGGCCTGAAAAATGTTTCACTCTCATTGATGTTTCTAATTCTCTATTCCTCTCCCTTCTTCTCTGTAAAAAAATTAATAAAAAAATATTTTAAACTAGGGGTCAGAAGGTCTGAGTTCTAATTGTGGTTCTACCATTACTTGCTAGGTGGCATTAAGCAAGGCCCTCAGCATCTTGGATTTCGATATTCTCCTCTCAAATGAGATGGTTGGGGAACATTTTGTTAAATGTGCTCTTTTTGCAGCCTGCATATTCTGTTAGCAAGTGCAAAAATTCACATGCAATAGCTAACTATCCTTTCCTATCATTTTTTTTAAATGCAGGGGCACCTTTTATCCTATATAATAAAGAGCTAATATGCTAAATGGATTGAACAGCAGAACGACCATCTGGACTATCTTCTGGACAAAACCAGGGCTATGAGGGCCAGCTGAGGCAATCAGAGCTGTGAGGGATGAGTCCCTTGCATGAATTTCATGCATTAGGCCTCTAGTCTTAATATAACTTTGTTTTCAGATGCAGTAACCCACACTTTTTAAATGCTCACTTATGTATAGCTTGTGTTTGTGAAGCGACTTTAATTAAAGTAGCCTGACAAAGAATTTATTCCAATTCCTTAGCCTCTCAAGGTCACACTGCTCCTATCTGTAGGTAGCATTATTTTATTTTATTTTTTTTTGTCTGCTATATCCTTCACTGTATATAACACTTTGGTCTGTGCAAAGTGCTTTTCCATCTCTTGTCTCACTTGGCATCAGTGGTACCAGGCAAAGGCTCAGACTAAAACACACTATCTCTCCCTAACTAACACGGCCCTACACCCAGTCCTGTTGTTAGCCTACAAGGATGTGACAGAGATAAGACAGTGTAGGAAACTTGACCCAGTGACAACCAATCAGAAGAGCTTTTGTCTGAGAATCTGACTAGGAGTGATTCATCAGCCACCAATCCCCGAGGCTTTCAATAAAAGAACAAAAGTCCACTATTGCCCCAAAGGCTGTGCTTGACTTTACTCCCTTGTGGGGGGGGGGGGGGGGGAAAGTAAGGTTAACTGTCAAGAGCAACTTCAGAATTCCCACAAAACAAAACTCAAGGGAGAAGAGTCCAAAAGGACAAGCTAAGTATATTCCTTCTATGTCGCTACAGTTTGAGAAAGAGCATAGTCAAGTGACTGCATAATGCAGGATAAGATGTTCCTAATGAATACCCCAATAAGCTGATTTTCTTAAATATCCACAAAATCATTGTAAAAATATAAATTGTTGAATGGCTTCAACTTCCATTTGCAGATGGAGGTTTACCTATGTGTCACTTCTTATCACTATACATGAGCGTACAAATTTTTTTAATTTGCCGAATCCAAAGTACATTTAAAATATAAAATCAGGTAAATGCTTCTCTTCCCTTATTTAAGCTCTATTTAAATTATTACCATGGCATATAGTGTTATTATGCTCATAAGTTTTAGAATCCAGAAAAACTCCATCCATAATTTGCACCAGGGGAACCAAGAGCCCAGAAACTATGGCCAAGTGATGTGGGCAGGCAGGTGTTCCAGAAAAAAGTACATGGTGGAGAAATTCTATAACACACCCTTATTTATAAGGGACTTCCCAAGTTAGAAGGGAGAATGCTAAACAAGGGAAAGAAGGAAACAAAGCAAAAAGAAAACCAACTATTTAAAAAAAAAGTCTTCTACAATATGTTAACACTGTATTTGGAGTCTGCTTTCGCTACTTGCCAACCTTGTATTATTTCATTATTTTATCATTAGATGCAAAATGATGTAGTCAAAAAAGTTCTGAAAAGGTGATCAGACGATAGAGCCCAAGTTTTTACATTATTATTTAGATACCCCTCAACCCAGTCATTGTTCAATGATTACTTATTACATGTGTAATATTTTCCAAATGCCGTGATGGGTGCTGGCTCTGAATGCCTGCCATGTGGAAGACTTCTTTCAACAAAGACGGTACAGGCAACTGCTTACATATAGATTTCAGTGATTTGTACTCCATGACCCTTGTTACCTTGACCATACCTGTTTGGATCAGAAATTGGCAGCTGACTGAAGCAAGGCCACTTACTGGCCTTCCAGAAGCTTGCAAAATAGTTTGTAAGAAATTCTCCAGTCCTGGCTGGTTTGGCTCAGTGGATAGAGCATTGGCCTATGGATTTAAGGGTCCTGGGTTCAATTCAGGTCAAGAACACATGCCCGGGTTGCAGGCTCAGTCCCTAGTAGGAGTTGTGCAGGAGGCAGCCGATCAATGATTCTCTCATCATTGATGTTTTTCCTTCTCTCTTCCTCTCTAAAATCAATAAAAAATATATTTTTTAAACTGCCTCAAATGCTTCTCTATACTAGATAATAACCAATTGAACCATTCGAAGAATATCTAAGGTGTTTAAATGCCAAATATACAGAGAGAAGAGCAGACAGTAGAGTTTAGTAGATATAAGATCAGAGATACAACCATATGTTCAAGCCATGAGGCAATAGAAGCCATACCTAAATATACACAGTGAGTGAAGGAGAGACTGCAGAATCAGTAGCAAAAGAAGTAGGGATCTTTTCCAAGAAGAGAAGATTCATCAATATAATCAATAAGTGTTTATTGTGCACTTCCTATATATGAAAATACAAATGATAGTAAAGCAGAGTACCTGTCTTAATGGAGTCTACTGTAAGAACCAGATGTTAATCAAATAATCATACTAACTGTGATAAGTGCTTGGAAGGTAAAATCACAGGGAGCTACAAGATGCAATGGGGAGGGAAAGATGATTTGGTACGTAGGAGGGGTGCTCAGTGAAGACAGCCTGAGGAAAGGATATCTAAAAAAAAAAAAATAGAAATTAAATGGGCAAAAGTAATGTGGGAAGAACCATGGAGACATCGTTAAAGGGCAGAGAAGAGCAGGGTTAATCTAGAGTTAGAGTGAGGCCAGATCATATCAGGCCTTGTAGGCCCTTTTAATGATGTGGGTCTTAATCCTGAGAGCTGCAGGAAGCCAGCAAAGGATTCCAAAAGGGAGAGACAGGTGAAGATGTGCATTTAAACTGACAGCTGTGGGAATTAATGAAGGGCTTAGAGTGGAAGTTCAGAAGATCTGCAGGAGTCAGGGGAGAGATGGTAACAGCCTGGACCAGGAGACTGGACAGTATCCTGAACTTGCAGTGCTTCAGGGTGGAAAACACATTTAATTTATCTCTGCATGGCACCATTCTGGCACCTCAGTAAATACTCAGAAAATGGTTGTTGAATAAATGGAGATCGATTCTCCAAAGTCACTGGTCAGTAATAATTAAACTTTCCTCTTTCACAATAAATCTACCCTAAATGACAGATGTCTAATGATGGAGTTATATGTACTATGTGTTACTCAGAAGAGATATTTGAGGGTAACAGAAACGTTAAGCACCCTAAAATGACCCTATTAAATGTACCTATGCCCAAGATGCAGACTAGAATAGAAGTTAAGATCATAGATTCTGGAGTCAAATTGCCCAAATTCATCTCCCAATTCATCCATTTCTCATTGTGTTAAACCAGATTCTCTTTCTCCATTTGTATAAAGGAAATATTAATAATATTAACACTCATACTCAAGAATTCTTGTGACTATCAAATATGCTAATAATTTATCATGAGGCTTGACAAATAGAAAGCACTCTATAAGAATTCATTATTATTATTATTACTATTAATTAAACTCATCTGAGCTTCTCAGAAAAAAAAGTACTACCCTTTATTGGAAGATAGGGCCTACAACATGTTAGGTACTCAATAAATGAACGTCTGCTGTTGACTTTACATCCTAATCCATCATCCTAAATTTGAAGATTCCATTTCAGCATGT